GAGGGATAATGATGTGTAAACTAGCCAGGCCGAAAGGGTTTTCTTTGACCATATCACTCACAAGTTTAACGGTTCCGGGGCTATCCGGAACAGAATTGGACTATAGAAACGTGGACTCAAAAGGCAATAAATAAATAAATAAATCGTATATTATTAAAAATCATGCAATACCGAAAAAAGTGCAACAAATAACGCTGGTTAAAAGAAAAAAAACAAACTGGAAAAATTAGTTAAACCAAAAATGCTTGCAAAAGGCAAGGAAAGTATAACGTAAATAGCTCATCGTAAAAAGACAAGAAATAAACCAAACTGCGACAGAAACAAAACCGAGACTATATTTACACAACAAAAATACTGATGGTCAAAATGCAAAAATGAGGCGAGATACTACGTGGCATGAATCAGAAAGAACATCTAGAGAATTCAACACTTGGAGACAAAGTCATGAGCAAGATGAAGAATAATTAGATGAAGGCTTGACAGTCCTTCAATACATGGCTAATAGAAATGTGCAGCAGGTTATGCACACTGGAGGCAAAGCCCTCCTCTGCCACCTGTTGGAGACACACAAAAACAGAATCAGGATCACTTTGTGGTCTGTATGAATGCCGACGCCTACAGTCAGCCCCTGATGTGTAAATGTTTTATATTTTACTCCACCAGTTGTGTGTCTTTGTGTGTGTGTGTCTTTCCCAAACAAACACACTCCCAGCACCCCCCGCGACCCTTGTGAAGATAAGCGGATCAGAAAATGGATGGATGGATGGATGACTCCTTATTGCATCACTGTGCATTTATCGGTTTTATCCTACGGGCTTATCTGTGCAGCGATGCTCACCACTGTAAATTGTAATGTCTCCCCATGGGGGAATCCCATGAGGGGCTTGGGGCGTTTTTATTTGTTGGAGATAAATATTTGATATTTATGAATAAGTGATCAGGAAGAACATCAACTCTGTCCTCCTGTCAGCATCAAAGGGTACACAGTCATTTACTCTTTTATGCCCAGTTGTTGGCAAACAAGGGGTGACGACTTTTTTTCATTTTCCAGAGATGGGTATTCCACCATAGTTTCAGCGAAGGTCATGAAGCCCAAGCGTATATGTCAGCACGACAGGGATGTGTTCCTCGAGCCGGTCCTTGGCCTCGAGGACCGGCTCGAGGACCAAAGGTCGGTCCTTGGTCCTTGGCCTCGGAAGTCAATTCCTTGGCCTTGGCCTCGGCCTTGGGAGTCAAGTCCTCGGCCTTGGCCTTGGCCTCGGGTTGCCAGTCCTTGGACACAATGAGGGAATTGAGCCTCGACTCTCTTGTCCGCAGGTATAAAGTGGTACGCAAACACCACGAAGGAATCAAAGAAATTCCATCCAGTAAGACGCGCATTGATGGATTAAGCTGGCGCTTTAAAAGGGGCGGGTCTGCCACTGACAGGCGACAGTTAGCGCAACGAATAAAGAGCGGCATCACAGTTAGTTTCAATCACGGTTTGTTCCGTTCGCGATCGGCAGTTTAAATAGCGTGTAAAGTCTTTCTGTAAAAGTGGTGTCTTTTATGTAGTTATTTTTGCACAGTCATCACGTTTCTGCGGTGGCACTATAATGTTTGTTTGAACCAAGTAATTTGCGTTCCAGCTGGAGTCAATAATGCCGGCATTTCACTTCCGGGTTTGGCCGTTGGGATTTGGAGTCCTTTTGCTCGATTCCAGTTATGTTTTTGGTGAATGCTTTCTCATGTTTGGAATAATGAATATTGATAATACATAGTTTAAAATCATGGTTGATTTAATTAT